AGTTGTGGACAAACACAAGTTAAGAGATGGAGACAAAAACATTTCAAAGGCTTTATCAATGCCTAGAAGCACAGTGAAGTCTATTATTAAGAAGTGGAAGGTATTTGGTCCAACACAGACCCTCCCTGGATCAGGACGTCGCTCCAACCTGGATGAAAGAGTCAGGATGAAACTGATCAGAGAGGCGACCAAGAGACCTACAGCAACTCTGAAGCAGTTGCAGGAATTTATGACAAAGAGTGCTCATTGTGTGCATGTGACAACAATGTCAAAAATTCTCCACAGATGTGGCTTGTATGGGAGGGTTGCAGTAAAAACGCTGCTCCTCAGGAAAGGCCATATGCAGTCACAACTGAACTTTGCCAAAATGAAGCTTGAAGATTCTGAGGCAGATGAGACTAAAATTTTATTATTTGGCCTCAACACCAAACGATATGTCTGGAAATCCTATACAGCTCAGCATCCAAATAACAGCATTCCTACAGTAAAGCATGGAGCTGGTGATGTCCTGTTATGGGCTATTTCTCTGCAGCAGGGTTGTCAGCACTTATCAGGATAGAAGGGAAAATGGATGGGGCAAAATACCATCAGATTTTTTAGGAAAATCTGCTGCCCTCTGCCAGAAAGTTGTCAATGGGAAGGTTTACCTTCCAACATGACAATGACCCAAAGCACACAGCAGATCTGAGCACACAGTGGTTGAAGAAGAAAAAGCTGAATGTTCTTGCATGGCCTAATCAGAGCCCAGACTTAAACCCCACTGAAAATCTGTGGAATGACTGCAGTCCACAAATGGTCACCATCAAATTTAACTGAACTTGAAGAGTTCTGCTCAAGTCTAGATGTGCAAAGTTAGTAGAGAAAAATCCCAACAGACTAAAGGCTGTAATTAAAGTAAAAGGTGGTTCAACAAAATACTGACACAAGGGGCTTGAAGATTCTGAGGCAGATGAGACTAAAATTTTATTATTTGGCCTCAACACCAAACGATATGTCTGGAAATCCTATACAGCTCAGCATCCAAATAACAGCATTCCTACAGTAAAGCATGGAGCTGGTGATGTCCTGTTATGGGCTATTTCTCTGCAGCAGGGTTGTCAGCACTTATCAGGATAGAAGGGAAAATGGATGGGGCAAAATACCATCAGATTTTTTAGGAAAATCTGCTGCCCTCTGCCAGAAAGTTGTCAATGGGAAGGTTTACCTTCCAACATGACAATGACCCAAAGCACACAGCAGATCTGAGCACACAGTGGTTGAAGAAGAAAAAGCTGAATGTTCTTGCATGGCCTAATCAGAGCCCAGACTTAAACCCCACTGAAAATCTGAGGAATGACTTGAAGACTGCAGTCCACAAACACTCACCATCAAATTTAACTGAACTTGAGCAGTTCTTCAAAGAAGAGTGGGCACATATTGCAAAATCTAGATGTGCAAAGTTACTTGAGACAAATCCCATCAGAGCAATAGGTGGTTCAACAAGACACAAGGGGGTGATAATTTTTCCAAATGAGTGATTCTGTTTTTTTTTATTATTATTATTATTATTATATATATTTTTTCTGACATGTTGGTGTTTTATCTTTCACTTGGATGTTAGAAGTTGCACTGAGTAAAAAGAGCTGGATAAAACAAAAACGGTGTCTGTCTTCATTTCAGGCTGCAAAGCAACAAAATGTGATTATTTTAAAGGGGGTTGATACTTTTCTACACCCACTGTTAGTGTATCTATCTATCTATATATGGGTTGTTGACGTGACATGGCATTTTCACTGTCCCACAAGATAAAAATGAATATAATTAATATTGTCATTATTTAAAATGTAGTAAATCATTAAAAATGTCTTTGTCCTACATGGACCTGTTGTTATAAAAGCTGCAGTGATATTAGAATTTTTACATTTTTGAGCCAAATATCAAAATTGTCCTATGGTGTGACTGTCTCAAGCATGATTAAGTTAATTACAACTTTTATAAATTAAAAAGAAAAACATAAAAATATTAATAAATACCTCCGGCATAATTGTACAAGGGTCTATTTTAGTAAATGCCAATCATTTTTTTCATCCATATATTTCTGAAAGCGTAGGAACCTGATTAAATTAATTAATGAATGAATTAAATTAGTTGAATGACACCTTTCATGATTATGTTACTGAAGCCCCCTGTGAAGCCCATGACATGTGCACATGGTCAATTTCTCTCTCAGAATTGTTCAAATATTTAACTTTTTGGAACCACTATAAAAGTGTTATGTTTTGTTGTGACACACTTAAATTATATATTTTAATTAAAAACTGCATGATAAACTAAATAATCATAAAAAATTATGCAAATGTGTCTTGCTAACCACTAATGACAGGCTAGCTTGGAATAGCAAGGTCATTAATTGACAGAAAAAGGCTGAAACGTCCTTTGGTGTGACAGAAAATGTCCACCGGTGTGACAGCTGTACTGTTACACCACAGGACAAAGATGTCACACCAGAGGACAAGGTCTCTTTAAAAAGTGTTTTAAATAATTAAATAAGATTTATTTAACTTCTTTTTATTCTTTTTTGATAATTTCCAGTGTTCTTAAATGCAATAATTACATTAATTAAACTATTTTCTAATGTTTTTGCAGAAAACTTGTACTGTTATAAAGTGTCATGAAAATAAGTATAAAATGTGATGCTTTGTTTTTGAGACAGAAAGGATTGAGGGAGAAAAATTACTGGAAGAGAGAGGACATGGAAATATAAACAGTCCATTAACAGGGAATGGAGGAGATTCTAAGAGAACAATGCAAAAAGTAAACAATCAAAATTATGCCTTAAAAAGAGTAGCCATACAGTTTAAAAAAATTATTCACATCTTAATGAAAATAGTTTGAATATCAATCATATTTAGCTGTGCCGCACATGTAGCAGAGGGGCCAGAAAAGTTTCAGTAACATACTGATTGACTAAGAGACTGATTTTTGTTGATGAAAATAATTTTTTGTTTCGTTTAAAATGCATGTTGATATTGTTTGTATCAAAAAAAAAAGCTTTCTTTCTCCTTTGACGTGTTCAAAATTAAATAGAAATAATTTAATAACTACCATTTCTGTCCTTTAGTGTGACGTAATGTCTTATGGTGTGACACATAAAAGAACCACAGATTTGTTTTTATCTCAAAATATCTTTTTAAAAAAACAGTTGATTATTGCAACAGGGGATATATAATCATCACTCATCTTGAAATGGTATAATTTTCAGCAGTTTTGAACGGATGACAGCAAAGTTTGTCTTATTGTCAAAGTTTGTCCTGAAATTGTCCAACAAGTCATGGGGAAAAAATGATGTTAATTATAATTTCATATTAAATAAATAACACTATATGAAAATAAGCATCTAACAATGAAGATAAATCTCTCTCATGCTATTTCTATATTATTAAGAGGGTTTTTTCCTTAATTTTCACACCATAGGACAAATGTATGGTACAGTTCAGTGAGAATGTTAAAAAAAAAACAATGAAAGAATTGATGACGTTAGTGACCCTTTATATTTTCTCAAAGATCAGACTTCACACTACATAAATATGAATTTTTTTTTTCAAAAAAGGTCTTTTACAAAAAAAGCTTTTTTTACTGCCTATTTGTCAACTACCCATTTATGTATTGGAAATGAGTAATGATGTATATATGTAATGAGTTCACACAGCATTGTGATTTCAACCACCATTTATTCGGATAACTTTCAAAATATTACTGTTATTGTGTCATGAAATGTAGTTTTTAAAAAGTATTTCAGGCGAGAATGTAGTTGTTTAAAACTCAAATCTGCGGTTTACTTATAAAGACAGCGCCTATTTAAAAATGTGTTTCGCCGATTTCGGAGACGTGTGCTCCATGCGATCAGCAGGCGCTCAGTGCTCATGTTTCCCGACGAGAGCAGTCTCGACGCAGCTAGTCCTTCTGACATTTGCCGCTGGCTCTGATGTCTCCGTAGTGGTTAAACATAAGATATAATTAGTTTTGGGTCAATTTAACAGGTTATCTTTGGTCTTTATTCAATTAATCTATTAATCGATTAATATGTTAAAATTAAAAGAGGCAATACTGTTTGATATAACACTTCATTTCATTGTAATGTAGGCTATATACACATTTCCCTGAACTACATTTATGCGGCTATTAATATGTTTAAATGAAAACGAAAGGAGGCAGTGGTGTTTGATATCATATTTCGTCTTATTGTAAATATATAGTGAGGAAAATTGCAGTAGCCAAGGTGAGCTGACTGACATTATCAAGTACGCTGCTGTTTGCAGAATTACCGGACTTGCATCGTCCCGTCCGCAGGAGTTCACACTGCCGAGTCGAACATGCAAAGTCCGAACTACCGAGGATGAAAGTCTGAAATTTGTGTACTTTGTATTGAGAAACACGCACAGACCTACGTCACCAGACTATTTGCCTATTCGTCCTGGTACTTTAGATAAAACTGTCTGTCTGCATTAATCAGCGCTTGCCTCAGCCCCAAAATGTATACTTTTCCATTGGAGGAATGGTTTGTGTGGCCAAAACAAAAGAGGACGCTGGGGAGTGAGACGGATGTCTTTCTGGTGGGGGCAAATGAAGTCACCGGCGTCTTCATGTGCGAGCGGCCGAATGTGTAGGCCAACACCCGCGTGCTGAAGCTTGGGTCTCATTGGCTGGACCAGGTGGGGAAGGAGTAGTTTTGGGGCCAGTGGTTTGCGAAGGAGAACCCAACTCATCATCAGAAGGGAAAAGTTGGATTTCGGACATTGTAGCAACTGGGTGAAAACTGTCATGGAACGGAGGTCAGTTGGCTGTATACATATATGAATTATCGTGCTAATTGAATTAATTATCAGAACGAGCTCCACCTGTGCTAAACTGGTTGATTAACCTGTACAAGCTCCTCCAGAACTTTGTTAATAAAACATAATTTAATGTAGATCAGCATCATTCACACACACGTTCAGTGTCAGTATTAGTATTTGACATACTTGAGTATCTGCAGTTTATAATTTGGATCCTGCAGTTTGTGTTTGAGCAGCTGGACTCCTGATTGTCCTGGGTGATTGTAGCTCAGATCCAGCTCTCTCAGGTGTGAGGGGTTTGAACTCAGAGCTGAAGACAAATAACCACAGCCTTCCTCTGTCACCATACAGCCAGACAACCTACAGACACACACAGTCAGATCATTTACGCACACACAGACAGATCATCTACAGACACAGTCAGATCATCTAGAGACACACACAGTCAGATCATCTACAGACACACATCAACATTGTGAACAGTTGACTATAAATTATTTCATATATGTATATAATACCTCAGTATCTGCAGCTGAGAGTTTGGACTCTTCAGTCCATCAGAAATTAACTTTACACCAGAGTCCTGCAGGTCAGTGTTACTCAGATCCAGCTCTCTCAGGACACAGTTTGAGGATTGTAGAGCTGATGACAAACTCTCACAACACTGAATAAGGAGATTACAGCCAGCAAGACTGAAAGAGAGCAGAACACACACATCAACAATCAGATCATCTACAGACACAAAGACAGATCATCTACAGACACAGAGACAGATCATCTACAGACACAAGACAGATCATCTACAGACACAAAGACAAATCATCTACAGACACACAGTCAGATCATCTACAGACACACACAGACAGACCATCTACAGACACACACAGACAGATCATCTAGACACACACAGAAACTCAGATCATCTACAGACACACACACAGAAACTCAGATCATCAACAGACACACACACAGAAACTCAGATCATCAACAGACGCACAGACAGATAATCTACAGACACACACAGTCAGATAATTTACAGACACACACAGACAGATCATCTACAGAAACACACAGACAGATCATCTACAGACACACATCAACAGTTGACTGTAAATTATCTCTTATATGTTCCTAAATACCTCAGTATCTGCAGCTGACCGTTTCGACTCTTCAGTCCATCAGAAATAAACTTTACACCAGAGTCCTGCAGGTGACTGTTACTCAGATCCAGCTCTCTCAGGACACAGTTTGAGGATTGAAGAACTGATGACAAACTCTCACAACACTGAGCAGGTAGATTACAGCCAGCAAGACTGAAAGAGAGCAAAACACACACAGTCAGATCATCTACACACACACCCACACACACACACAGAGAGAGAGAGTCAGATCATCTACAGACACAAAGACAGATCATCTACAGACACAGTCAGACCACCTACAGACACACAGATCATCTATAGACACACAGAGTCAGATCATCATCAGATACAAAGACAGATAGATCATCTACAGACACAAAGACAGATCATCTACGGACACACACAGTCAGATCATCTACAGACACACAGTTAGATCAACTACAGACACACCCACACAGTCAGATCATCTACAGACAGACAGATCATCTAGACACACACAGATCATCTACAGACACACACAGTCAGATCAACTATAGACACGCATACACACACACAGTCAGATCATCTACAGACACAGTCAGATCATCTACAGACAGACAGATCATCTACAGACAAACACAGTCAGATCATCTACAGACACAATGACAGATCATCTACACAGTTAGATCATCTACAGACACAGATCATCTACAGACACACTCAGTCAGATCATCTACAGACACACTCAGTCAGATCATCTACATGCACACAGTCAGATCAACTACAGACACACACACAGATAATCTACAGACACACACAAACACACAGTCAGATCATCTACAGACACACAGTCAGATCATATACAGACACACTCAGATCAACTACAGACACACAGTCAGCTCATCTACAGACACACACACACACTCACAATCAATCAGATCATCTACAGACACACACACACAGTCAGATCAACTACAGACACACACAGACAGATCATCTACGGACACACACACACAATCAATCAATCAGATCATCTACAGACACAGTCAGATCAACAACAGACACACACAGACAGATCAACTACACACACATACACACAGTCAGATCATCTACAGACACAAAGACAGATCATCTACAGACACACACAGTCAGATCAACTACAGACACACAGTCAGATCATCTACAGACACACACAATCTACAGACACACACAGTCAGGTCATCTACAGACACACAGTCAGATAATCTAAAGCCACGCACAGTCAGCTCAACTACAGACACAATCAATCAGATCATCTACAGACACACACAGTCAGATCATCTACAGACATACACGGATAGATCATCTACAGACATACACAGACAGATCATCTACAGACACACAAAGTCAGATCAACTACAGACACACACAGACGGATCAACAACAGACACACAGTCAGATCATCTGTAGACACACAGATCAACTACAGAGACACAATCAGATCATCTACTGACACAAAGACAGATCATCTCAGACACACACAGATCAACTACACACACACACACACAGAGAGATCAGCTACAGACACACACAGACAGATCATCTACAGACACACATTAACAGTTGACTGTAAATGATCTCTTATATGTTCCTAAATACCTCAGTATCTGCAGCTGACAGTTTGGACTCTTCAGTCCATCAGAAATAAACTCTACACCAGAGTCCTGCAGGTGACTGTTACTCAGATCCAGCTCTCTCAGGACAGAGTTTGAAGATTGTAGAGCTGAAGACACAATTTCATAATGCTGATCTGAGAGATCACAGCCAGAAAATCTAGAAGAGATTAAATAAAATTTAAGAAATAGCAAAACAATAAAGACATGTACAGAGGGTTGCCAGTTTTCTGCCCTCAGGGAACGGAGGATGACATGATCTGAACATTGAATCACAATAAGATGAGCTCCTGAGAGTGTGCGATAATCTGATCATTTTATAATTCAGATTTTTTTCATATCTGAAATCAAATGAGCTCCTGGCTGTTTATTCAACTAATGAATATTTAACAATTTGCTAAATGTGGCAAAATTTTCTGAAGGTATAAAAATTCAAAGTTTTGAGAGACTCTCCACACAGCCGTGCATTTATTGCAGTTGTACTTTTTTTTTTTTACTGGATTAAATCCTTACTGCTATATTGTTAATTTGATGAATATTTGTAGTTTCCCATTATTTGGTGCTTCAGTTGCATTAGTTTGAGTCAATGGTGTTCACAAGCACAGTAACTTGCTTTGCTTTATTAACTTTATTCAACATCATAGCCATTCAAGATCAAATGAGCTGTGTTGAATCAATTCTTGCTATGTAGTTTAAGCTTTAAAGTAAGAGACAGAGATTAATTCACTGAGTCACGTATGTGGAAATCAAATCCTTTAAAATTAGGTTAATGAAATGAAAGAGCCCTGAATGAGTGAATGTTGGGAATAAAACAGTTGAATTTAATTCTGTCAGCTGCTTCAGCTCTTTTAAATGCTTGTTTAAAAGTCCCTAAATTATATCAACATTTACTATTTATTTTACTACAAATCATCATCTATGACAGGGGTGCCCAAACTCAGTCCTGGAGGGCCAGTGTCCTCCAGGACCAAGTTTGGGCACCCCGATCTATGACCTTACAGCTCTACACAGTAAATTCCCGAGTGCTAAATTAACACTGCTTGGAGCATATATGGTCCCACTCTAAAAGAGTGTTAAAGTAACACTGAAGCAGTGTTAAAGTTAATGAAATAATTATGTGATTAATTAAGTGGTGATTGATCATTAGTGATGAACAGCTGCTGTTAACAAGCAGAATCACTGAAGAAAAGAGAATCACAAGAACTACAACCAGTGTTGCCAATTTAGCTACTTTGTAGCTAGATTTAGCGACTTCCCCGCCCCTTTTGAGACTTTTTTCAAAAGTTTAGGGACAAATATAGCAACTGGTTGGACAAACCTTATCTAAGTTCTCATCTTGCCCACTGATCTAAGTTCATCTTTATATAGATCAGAGAATTTGCCATTGTGATGTCATCTAGTGACATTTAGCTACCAGTTTTAGCTACTTTCAATTGAAAGCAGTTGGCAACACTGACTACAACAGACTTCAGCCACAGCCTTAGCTGAAATCAACTGAAATAAAAGACATTAAATCTCTCAATCTCAGCAGAAGATGATTAATCATCTCCACAAACAGCATCACCAGCTTCATGCATTAATAACCAGTTTGACTATCTAAAACAGAAGTTCTTCATTGAGAATTAATGTTTAGATGGGGTTTTCTTTTGTGAATAGTGGTTGCTCTAGTTGCCTCTTGACTTTTCAGATTTAAGTTTCTCTTTGGCTGGCACAATTGTGTGTATTAAACACATATGTGATAGCAAACAACTTATGATAAAATCATGTCATGTCTCTGATTGCAATTTATCTAAAGCTGTAGTGCTTTTATGATTTCTGTATTGTTGCAATTATATGAGATAACAATGTGAGAAAAACCTTCATAAATTACTTTTATAAATATAGTTCATAAAGAGGCTTCAAGTCTGGCACTCATAGACATGAAGAATCAGCATGTGAATCTCAGCAATGGTGACAAAATATTCTGATAATTTTTGTGATTTTTGAACGTCACAAAACAAGGCAGTAAAAAGTCACAACAAAAAATATCAAAAATAAAAGCAAATAGTAATGTAACGAATCAGCTCATGACAGGAAATATGAATAATTAACCATAACTAGTTATGATTAATTATGAATATTTTAGATGCGCTGTAGACATTTAGCTGACCACTCAGGGTCAACTGTCTTGTCAATTCTAAGAACGTTAATTTCCTGGTTAAGGGAAATAACTTTCTTACTGTACAATTCTACAAGTTGTTTAGATCATCAGAAGGCGAATTCATAGATACTAAACAAGGTATATGTAAGGTTATATGAATGAGTGGTTTATCGTAAGCATGGATAAAAATAGTCTATAATACAACAGATTAATACAAAACAGCAATAATATACACAATGGCCTGAAGAATATGTGTGTTCATTCAAAGAAAGGTTTTCCTATGAATTAATTAGTAGAAAAGTCCATTTCTACTGTGCATTTGTGCCTCTTGCTTCTGGAGAATGCAGCTGAGAGTCTGCTCGCATTCCACAAGGTTGTAAATGTATCGGGTTACCATGAAACCAGGGGCCTGTTCGGCTTCCTGGGGTGTTACAGAGTATTTGTGAAATCAAACAAAATATAACAAAATATATATTGTGTGTTTGAGTGGTCCAGATGCTACAGTAAAAATAAAAGAAAATACTAAGACAATGTAGCTGCATAATTTATTCATGTTGCAATGCATGCTGGGAGCCATGGATGAGTTATGATTGGTGCACCCAGAATGCACTGCAACATGAATCTGTCTGATGATCTTCACCATTGCTGAGATTCATATGCTGATTCTTGATGTCTGCGTGTCTAAATAGCACAGATGCTCTAAACTGGTGTGCAAAGTGTTTTTAAAGCTCTTCCTATTATTTCATTAAAATGCAGTTGTGATCAATAACAAACTATATTACCACTGATGACATCCGTGAACCTGGCTACTACATGACAACAATGTCATTATCAAAAAAAAATGGCCAATATAATCTGAACACACTTTCTCTTGGTTTTTCTTGCCATAACAAATGTGTTTCATAAACACAATTACAGCAACCAGAGAAAAACTTATGTTAGAAAGTCAAGTGTAAACACGTATCTCATCTCCACAATGGTTCAAATTGTGTTATTTTCAATAAACATTAACATCTAAATCTCTGTTAATTCTCAATAAGAATTTTTAGACGCATGACAAACAAAAATTCAAACTGGTTATTAATGCATGAAGCTGGTGATGCTGTTTGTGGAGATGATCTTCTGCTGAGATCTTGAGAGATTGAATGTCTTTTATTTCAGTTGATTTCATCTAAGTCTGTGGCTGAAGTCAGTTGTAGTTCTTGTGTTTCTCTTTTCTTCAGTGATTCTGCTTGTTAACAGCAGCTGTTCATCACTAATGCTCAGTCAGCACTTAATTAATCACATAATTATCTCATTAACTTTAACACTGCTTCAGTGTTACTTTAACACTCTTTTAGAGTGGGACCATATATGCTCCGAGCAGTGTTCATTTAACACTTGGGATTTTACTGTGTATGGAAATGAATTTATTATGCCTGTGAGTGATTGCATTAATGTTTAAAGTATAGGTTTTGTATAAGTGCATAGAAATGAATTGGGAAAAATACACATTATTACACACAATAAACGCTGAATAATACTGAATACAGTTTATATAGGAATGCCGCGATAGGTGTCGTATTCCTATAGGTAGATGTGATCAGCTGATGCAAGCTTGACTCACGTAACCTGCCAGAACTAATGCCAAAGCTTAATTTAAAAACATGGGTTGCAATGAGGGCACTGATGAGATGTGTATCATTTGCTGCAGATTCACTACTCTACTGTAAAATACTAAATATAAGCACTGTCAGCAGGTATTTCATAATAACCTATTCTAGATCAAGACAAATACATTAATAATTCTGATAACCAGCCATTCGAAAGGGACTCTAATGTAATGCATTTGCTTTTTTGTTTGTACAATTACTCCAGTGAACTAGTTGTTGTTGGCTTCTATTAATTTTGGTGAACACAATAAAGAGTTGAGCAGATCTAGAAAATTCTGTTTAGGGTGGCATGAGGACTGTGAGGGGTGGCAACACCAAAGCAAACAAGCATTCAATCATCTATACTAAACCTACAGTATATAATCTATACTACAATATAGCCACTTTGGAATTGTGCCCTCTATTGGAAAAGAGGAGTCATGGGGAAAAGATTCCATTCTTAAAAGAGAACAGCGTTTGTTTTGGTTGCATGTGCACAGGACACATCAGTAAAAATTGTAGAAATCGCCTTTCATGTAAAGTGTGTAATCTTAAACACCATGAAGTATACTTTACATCTACCCAAGAGAAGATGTGAGCAATTCAAAGCAAGTGAGGAAGCAGACGTACATTGTAATGGGCAGTGCTCTGGAATCTGTTGAGTCCAGTGGATTTATTGGAGCTGGTAAATACGAATGTAAACTTTCTATAGTTCCTGTGCAAGTGAAATCTAAAAAAGGAAATAAGACTGTGATTACTAATGCGTTTTTGGACCAAGGTAGCACAGCAGTATTTTGTACATCTGGATTGATGAATAGACTTGGTCTTTTAGGTAAAAGGACAAATATTCTCTTGCGTACTATGGGTCAGGAGAAAGTCACAACTACCCATGTTGTTTCTGGGTTAGAGGTAGCTGGTTTGAATAAAGAAGATTTCTGGGAGTTACCTGATGCCTATACACAAGAGACTATGCCTGTGCATAGAGGAAACAGCCCAAGACAAATGGATTTGCAGGGATGGCCACATTTGAAACATGTGAATCTACCTGAAATTGACTCTATCGAATTGCTTATAGGAATAAATGCCCCAAGGGTTATGGAGCCGATTAAAGTGGTCCGCAGTGTCAATAACGAACCCTATGCAATTAAAACAAGGTTAGGATGGGACAGTAAATGGCCCACTAAGAGGAGATAGTTGTGACCAGTCTGCTTCTAAGTTCCCTGATGTTACAGTCAACTGGATTTCAGTTTCAAACTTGGGAGAGCTTTGGCAACAACAATTTAAAGTTGATTTTCCTGAATGTAACAAAAATTAACAAGTTGGGTTTTCAAGAGAAGATCACAAGTTTATGGAGATGGTAACAGACTCATTAAAGCTGGTAGATGGTCA